ATTTGTGCTGGACCCTGTATTTTTAGAAAAGAACCAATTGTTGATTCAGTAAGTGTCACTGGAGTATCCACCTTATCCCCAGCCCTGTGCTAGGTGCCGGGGACACCAGTATAAAGAAGACAGCGGGAGGAAAGTTGTCACCTGATTATTAGTAAGTGACCAGCATTCCAGTGATCAGATTGCTGCTAACTGTCCGTGGAGGGCTATGTCGTTCAAGTGAGAAAGGCCTCATTAAGAAACCTGAACTTCATCTTGAAGAATGAGCATGTTTTATGGGCAGGGAGTGAGGACAGATTTCAGGGAGAGGCGTGGGGCGGGGACAGACACAGCGCGTGCTCACAGGTGTTCTCAGTAGTGGGAGCCCCGCCTGGGCGGTGTGTGGGAAGTGGGGGCGGAGGCTACAATCAGGTTTTCACGCTCAGGCCTCGTTCCTCGGGCCCCGGGATGGGGTTCAGGGAGGTTTCTGGGAGGTTTTGCTTCCATCCCGTGGCTAGTGGTCTTGAACTTTGCATATGTAGGTGGAAAAAGGAGTTGATGGAGAGAGAAAACACCAGGGAGGAGGAAAAGGAAATAGGACGATGGGGTGGAAATGACAGTGAGGTCTGGACCGGCACAGATGTGGCGAATAAAAGCTAAAGCTGTGAAAACAAGTCTGTTTCTACTCTTCTCAAGGCTTCTGAAACTGGTTTCTGGGAAGGCCAGAGGCCAGATTCAGCGGCCTGCACTGCCCCCTGCTGGTGGAAATCCTGAAGCAGCCACTATTGAATTTCTGCCCGAGCTTCCTCCTCAGCCTTGAGGAAAACAAGCTGTAACCAGAACACACCTGCGTCCCATCAATTTGCCCTGCAGCTGGGCCATCGAGTTACTCCCTTGTTCTTTATAGTTCAGACTAGCTTTTAAATGACTGCTTTTATCATCTTCAAAGGTGCTTTTTTTCCCTCTACATTTCTACATCTCTGAAATCGGAGTGTGTCTTGGAATGGATGATCTATCAGTTTATTGCCAGATTTATTTTCCTTTGTCATATACAAAGGACCATGTTACAAATGATGCCAACTTATACTTGGAGAAATATGGCAATATTTATTTTGCATATATCAGAGAGGCTGGCCTGATGGAAAAGATATATATTTATATATGAAATATTGTCTTATATATAAATATATACCAAGGGGAATATATTTATATGTACATATATCATAGTTATATAACTTATCATAAATATATAATTTCTGTTTATAAGTATTTATACATACATTTATATTATATATAACTATATAATATATAAATTATACATATTACATATTATATAAATATATAAAGGGGATATATAAATATATAAATCATATATTTACATTACATAGAAATTCTACATTTATATAATTTACATAATTGCATATATAATTGTATGATTATAAATTACATATAATTGTATATACATATTAAAACACACATTTATATTTTTTTAGTGTGGAAGACCTACTGTGACCTTGAATCCCTAAAATTCCTTTCTTCTTAAATCCTGGATCTCCATTATTTACTCGTTACTTGATTTTTGGCAGTTCTCCCTCTGAGCCTCAAGTTCCCCATCTTCAGTACTAAGTATCTTGTATGGTTTGTGAGAGGTCCATGAAGTTACATAGACAGCCCTGGACTGTTCCCTACTCAGTGTGTTAAAGTACTCAATAAATAACAATCATCATTTCCAAACTTAAAGCCTCGAAAACCAATACCTGCTCCTGCGTGAGTGAAACACACCCAGACAGAAAGTCTCTTCCTTCTCGGAGTGAGCCTTGGCATCCCAAGTGCACCCTGGGCGCCTTAATCCTCTGAGCCTATGAGAACCCCTGCGGAGCGGCTTGCTTTATGTTGATAAAAAAGGCCTGAGAGTTCAAAGGTCTATGGGGCACTTATTTTAAGCGCCCCAATTTGGATGTTTGAAGTCTTAAGCAGAACCCAGCTGTCTTTGCTCACTGTAATTCAGAACCTCTGAGCTGGGTTTTACCCTGTGCCCACAGATTTCTGCTCTATTCTGATAAACTGGGAAGGGCAGAGCCCGGTGTTTTATGAGGAACGGCATTTCCAGTATTTACGGCGGCCGAACCTAAATGCAAAGGAAAATGAGGACGGTGGGAGGAAGTGCTCTCATTGCTGGTTGTGGTTTGTGGCTCTCCCTAGCGATCACAGGATAAGGTAAATTTAGGGTTGAGGGCCAGCGTCTCTGATTGCTGCCCCAGGGACACAGGTAGCTGGTCCTGGAGGCCCCTGTTAGCTCTGCACGGGGCAGCTCTAAGGAGCCCCGCCCCCCAATGTGGAAGGAGCTGAGGAAGACATCACAGAGCAGGCTTCCGTATTTGCTAAGTGGCTGCCCCTGGAGCTCCCCAGTACCCCTTTCTTCCGTGAGATGAAATTGTGCAGTTCAATTCTCAGCACCACCGCCAGGGGGAGAGAGGCAGCGGCAGACACGGGAGGAAACCCAAGCCTTGCCCAGTGGCTGGCCCCGGCCTCCCCTTCCTGTAGCACCCTTGCATTTCTGGGGCCTGTGTTGGGAGGGGGAGCTGAAGGGAGACATGAGCTCCCGTCCTGCGTCCTGCCCGGGTTTTGCCTCTCCGTGTGAGTCTGCCCCTGCCCCTGGTGGTCACTACATTTTATACTCACAACCTGCGGGCCTAGGTATTGTGCTCATGGGATACCGGGTGGGTTGATAGGAATGAAGGAAGCTAATGGCCAATGAATGCTGGGTTGGCCAAATGGTCTGCTTGGCTTTTCCATAAAATAAAGGCACATTTTTCTTTTGCACCAATAACGTTATTGATTTGGGTATTTTGAGTATGTCAGCTCTCTCCCACTATTGGCTTCTCGTGGCTAGAGGCCAGGGGTGCTGCTAGGCATCTTCCGATGCATGGGACAGCCCCACAGCACAGAATTATTTGGCCACAATGTCGATAGTACCAAGAAACTTTGCAAACCACTTTTGACACATTCCATAAGTCACAGCACCTTCTCTGTGCACTGCACAAATCCTTTTTGTGCATTTCCATTGCATTTTTACCTTTCTTAAAATAATAAAGCACAGCATGCTGAAAATGTTACATATTTTCTTCCACCTTCAATATTTAAGTAGCTGTACAAACATTCACCAGTTTTGGTAAGTTTTTTTAATGCACGCTGATTTGGCAGCTCTCAATACAGTCTAACAAAATAGTTTCGAATGAAAAAGGCAACAGAGCACTATGAGAACCATGATACGGAAAAAACGTAACGGACTTTTTGGCCGACCCTCTGAGGAGGGTCAGTAGTGGCCAGGGCAGAATGACTCGGACAAGACTGGTCCCTGTGTTGGGAACCGCCCTGACTGGTATCAGAAACTGAAACCCCCGCCTAGGCTAAGGCTAAGGGAACGCCCTTGGAACCGTGAGCCGGCAAGGAGACAAAAGCTTATCTTCCTGGCAGGAATGCTGTTTCTGCTGCTGAACCCCCAAAAGCTTGGTCGGTTAGCCAAAGACGGGTAAGATTCCCCACGGGGGGAACAACCCAAGCCAGGCACGATCACTTTGGGAGGCCCCCCAAAGAAGGACTTGGGGGGGCTGCAGCAAAAAGGGGGTGATGGACCCTCACTCCTCGGCTTTGACAAAGTCTGAGTTCTCAGCGTCCGGAAGAAAATCTCCTTATCTCTCGGTGGCCTTAGTTCCCGCGCTCCACCTAAGCCTGAAACAATGACGGGGTAGTACAGCTCGGTACTGGGAAGTGCGGATTTCCCGGGGTGATCAGGCCTAAGAAAGAACATGTAAATTACTGTGAAACCTTCTTTGTTCAAGAATGCTCTCAGTTGAATGAGGAGGGTCTTAGGAGGAAGCTAGTTTGTTCCTCAGCCTTACAGCTCTTTGACCCCCAACTCAATAGACCGGCAGAGCTCTTTGTTTTCTATATTCCTTACTTCCCCTAATGAGTATTGTACGTTACCTGAGTTATTATGTAGCATGAGCCCAATAAAAAGCAGGTATGGACTGTAAATCGGGCGCTCCTCACTAGAAAGGGGTGGCCATTTCGTCCCTACTTCTCCACAGAAATTAGTTTGTCTCTGTGCATGTTTTTTCTCGCGTGTTTATCGTCGAGCCACCCACAGCGTTCCGTGGTCACTGCTAGCCGGTGACCCACGCGCAACATCCCTGAAGGCACGTCGTGGGGGTACCTTCCCAATATTGCCGGGGTTGCCGTCTCCCAGGAGCTGTCAGTAGCCCAGATGCTGGTGTGGATTCTGTGGGTGTTTCAGCACTGACGTGAGCGTGTCAGGAGGCCAACATGGGCAGGGGCGTCCTCTGACCCGGTCAGGGTGCCTCCTGGTCTCCTCTCTGCGTCTCCTCCGCCGCGGTCTGCCAGGTGCCAGGGGACCGCTGAGCTTCTGAAGGGAGACCCTTCCCCTTGCCCGAAAAGCCAGTTCACAGAAACATCGTTTGTTTAACAAAGGGCTGGGCTCAGAGTCTGCTGGTGCATTCTTTCTTTGCCTTTCTTTCTTTTCCTGATGCCGTTATTCTTGTCTGTTCAGGACAAAACTGCAGAAAGAAGGAGAGAGGAATAATTTTTACATAAAGCCAACGACTCATTTTGTAAGACTCCTTTACTCTGGCATTTTCATTCTGAAATGGAAGAGACAGTGGGCGGTGGAGGGCTTTCAGGCGAGTGTGTGTCTGTGCTGGACACAGTTTGAATCTGCATCGTGTTTTAATATTCTGTTTGTATTTTTATATTTTTTAAGCTTTATTGATTTGAGAGAAAGAGACCCATTTGTTCCACTTATTGATGCATTCATTGGTTGATCCTTGTATGTGTCCTGCCTGGGGGTCGAACCCACAACCTTGGCATCTCCAGACGATGTTCCAATCAGCTGAGCTACTCGGTCAGGGCCTAAATCCTCTATTTTTTAAATATATATGATAAAATCCAAAAACGGAAGACAGCTGACCTAAAAGATTCATGTTATTTTTTGTTCTCCTCTCCAGAGTTAGACTAGACTTCAATGGTGAACGAAATCCTGCAGAAAGTTCAAAAAAAAAAAAAAATTAGCAGGATGAGCGACCACGCCACACGTTAGAAAGTCCAGAGACAGCAACACGTCCACGTTCGAGTGAGCTGACTTCCAGCGGCGACCGACCGCAGTGCGTCCCCGGGTCCGTGTCCGGGGCCAGCGTGAAGCCCTCCACAGCAGGAGCCAAGTACCTGTGGGGTCACGGTGAGGAGTCTGTCGTCGCTCACATCTGCCGCTCAGCCCGGAGCTGAACTTCATCTTGCCAGAGGCACTCTGCAGCGGGACAGGGAATATGAGAAATGCACCGAGGACTGACTGAGCATGCAGGTTAAAAAAAAAAGAAATTCTGTAGAGTTATTTTTCTTCTGCAGCACCTGATTAGGGGAGGGGAGAAAAGAAAAGTTTAAAATCTGTGTCAGGCTCTTCATCACGCCCGTTTGGGACTCGCTGGAAGATAAACGTGTGTGTGTGTGTGTGTGTGTGTGTGTGTAAGTGTGCAAGGCATCGCTCCTGGTGAAAAGACGGGGCGGGGAGGCGTTCCGAGCAGGCGGGGCTCTGCGAGGACCTGGCCGCGGAGGCCTGAACACTTCCGACTGCGGTTTGTCTAGCAGTGACGTTCCATCACTGAATTTTTCCCGCTGAATTTGATACACAGGCTGCCTGCAGCCCGTAACCAATTCTAGGGGACGTACGTGTTACGAGAACACATTCCTCCTCCTTGCCGAAGAGTGACAGCCTGCGGCATTTTCCTCCTCTGTTAGCAGAGCCCACGGCCCAGGAACGCACTGGTCTTCCCCAGCGCGGGTTGGAGGTCGCAGCTGTACGACCGGCCCTCCCCCTCCCCCCGCCCCCTCCCCCCGCCCCTCCCCCCCGCCCCTCCGCCAGTAGGAGAAGAGCTCTCAGTGCGGACCCCACGCACATGTTTCAGGGGCAGGGCTTCAGCCCGGCGGCGTCTCAGAATCTGCCCGCTGTCCTTCCGAGCGCCGCCGCACCAGCAGGTGGCGTCTGGGACAGAGATGGCAGCCACGGCGACGTTCTCTTTGCAGACTCGTGTCTAAGTGTCCCCAGGGTGCTCACTCTTGTTCTGTCGGTATTTGGGGGTGTCTAGTGCTTTTTATCTCTTCTCTTCCCACATTTGCACATCTTCCTGCCTCGGGCCCAGCAGAGCACTCCGTGTGAGCGAACTCGTGAACGGGAGGGTGGCAGGGCAGAGCAGAGCAGAGGTGAGTCGTACACGGGACCTGCGTGTGTGTGTGTGTGTGTGTGGTTTTCCCAGTCCCGGGCGTCACGGGTGTGTTGTTGGCAGTATTTCCCAAAAACCCCCCGTCCCTGACCCACCGAGAGATTGAAGGTGACTGCAGAGACGGCGCGCGAGCCTGCTGGACCCTCGTGAGCCCGATGCCCGCAGCTGGAAAGGCTCGCAATCCGCAGCCCCCAGAAGGACGTTTGTGTCCCCGTGGTTTCCCACACGTGACGGCTGCCCACCTGCGTGGGAGTTTCTGGTCGTCTCTCTGTTCTCACCAATCTGCTGGGCACAGTCCCGGCCACAGAGTCCTTGCTGTTCTCTGAGGGTCAGCTTTCCCACCGTCAGTGGTGATGTCTTCTCCCCACAGTGTCCTAATGGCCTCCTCTTCATCTTTTTCATTTTAGTGCTTTTTTCTTGAATTTATTAGGATGACACTGATCAAGAAAATTATATAGGTTTGGGGGGCACAGCTCTCTAACGCAGCATCTGTGTATTGTACTGCGTGACCACCACCCCAAGCCCGGTCGTCCGTCACCGTGTGTCCCCCCTGCCCTCTGCTGCGCCCCCCCCCCGGCCCCCCTTCCCTCTGGGCGAGTTCTTGGCATTGTTTCCGCGTCCACCAGAACATCTTCCTTAGGAGGAAGATGCAGTACATTTCACCACTGCCCCCCACGTCAAGTTCTCTGAAGTCCCGTGACCAGTCTTGGCCGCCCTTTGAGAACTGCTGTCTTAAAATGCCTTTTTCAATAGTGATGCAACCTCATGCAAGTACTGGGGCTTCTTTCCCCTTTTGAAAATGCTGGCTGCCTTTTTTTTTTTTTTTTGAGATAGCAGACTAAGGGATACACTTACCATTCAGCCTCGTGCCAGTTTAGTGGTGACACCAACATTCTTCGAATTTCTGCAGTTTCCTCCAAGGTTGCCCCCTGGGGGAAAGAGACCGCCAGATGGTAAAACTGAAGCCGATTCAAAGGTCGGTCGGAAGCTTGCTCTGGGCCGGGCACTGTGGTGTGAACCTAAAAAGGGGGAAGACACTGTAACACACACACCCTGGGGAGGAGCCACACCCTGAGGCTCCTTCTGGCTGGGAAACTCCTGACACGGTGGGTGGGATTCACACCAGCTGTCGGGGGGAACCGGCGGCTAATTCTCAGGGGACTGCAGGGTGTGGGGCACCTGACCTGTCCGGTGTGGCATGGCAGCAGAGGGGAAGGTTCTAACCCAGAACTAGAAAGCCTAGGCTTGCTCTGGAGAAGGGGCACTCGGGCGGGAGAAGGAGGCCAGCACGGGTGAGACAGTTCAGTGGGACTGGTCTCCCAGTGCTGCCCACAGCAGGGTCGTCTCCGCTCCTGACAGACAAGGTCCTGTCGGGAGGCGGGTCCACCTGAGCCCCGCAGGTTGATGCTGGTAATGACCTTCGTTTATATAACTAATCTCTCTTGTCCTGCCCCTCAGTCCACACAGACTTCTCACCACGCCTGCCTGCCAGTATACTATTCACTGCAAATTAGTTACTTGCCATTTGGTGCCCTTTAAAACTTGGTGAAATTAGTATGAGAAAACCTCCCAAGGGACTGTATATTCTGCGGTCCTTAGAAAACCAAGTTCCTGGGTCCAGTGACAGACTGGGTGCCAGATTCTAGGGGGTGCAGACAGGGCAGAGTGTGCCAGAGTGGGAAGGGGACATGGAGGGGCACGCGACATTCTGAAGACTGGTAGCACCCCGCCCCTGCCTCCTGCTTCTGTGATAGAAAAGACACACACAGCAGTGAGCGTCATATTGGGTGTTTGCAAGGAAGAGATGCAGGGGCCCAACAGACCAGGTTCTGCTGGTTCCAAGTGTCTGCACAGACTTAAGGCAGAAGTTGGCATTTGAGATGAAACTTAAAGGATACAGCAACTTCCTTCCTACAGGCAAAGCTGGAACACATGTGCTCTGATCATTTCATTGGCAGAGGTATTATTGGGCTGGGTAAAATTATTTGGGCAATGACAAGGTATATTCTGGAGGAACCGGGAGCCTTCTGCTCAAGGGCTACTGGTTTTATCATGACTGATGTCACAGCGTCTTTGTGAGTGCCTGTGGCTTTCCTTGGGCTCAAATTCCTCAAAGCTGTGCGGTTTGTGGCAAAGAAGAGAAGGACAGTTTACCAAGAAACCAAGAATTATATAACTTCACTGATTCATTAAGCAAATGGCAGCCACAGCCTAGGAAGTAGATACCAGAGGGAGGACTTCAATTAGCGACAGAAGTGCGTGTAAGCTCCTTATCCTATCTTCAACTGTAAGAGTCTAAATAAAACAGGTCTGAGGAAGTTTAGGCCAATTTAGGCATGTCACCCAGACGTGCTCACCTCGTCACGAGGGAGTGAAAATACAGATTGTAGGGATTTCTGAGTCAGAACCCAAGGCAGACAGATCTAAGAAGCCCCCAGCTGACTCTGTTACAGCCAACAGGGAGCATTTGGGAGTCACTAATCCAAACTGTCTCAGATGCACGAACGTCTTCCCTTAGTCCTGACGACACCTGGTTCTCAAGTTCCTGGGGTGACAATCAGCATTTGTTTCCAGCACCAATAAACAATGAAATCAGAGACACTGAACTGAAGACAATGCAACTGTCCCCAGGTCATCAGCCACTGTCAGTAATCACGCACAGCCGGATGGACATTTCAGCGGTGATATTCTGGGCAACTGGGCTCTTTTGCACACGCTGTGTGTTATCACAGACTGATTTATTTGGGGATGATCGAAATACCTCCTCATGCTTGCCCACAGGACGGCAGCATGACCTCAGGAAGTGATTTTATCGGGGATGCTGGCAGTGCATTCTTGCTCACCAGACGGCAGGCGTGAGAACGCACTGCTAGCATCCCAGATAAAATGTAGTGCAGTGGTCCCCAACCTTTTGCACACCACGGATTGATTTCCTGGAAGACAGGCGACAACAGGAAGTGGAAAGCAGAGCTCAGGTGAACTTCACTCCCTGCTGTGGATGGGGTGGGCGCGGGGAACGGGAAGAGACAGGAGGAGCTGCTCAGGGGAGCTTTCCTTGCCTGCTGTGATGGTAAGGGGTTGAGGCGGGGGGCTGTGGGGACTCAGGCAGGGGAAAGTGTACTGCCAGCATCCTCCATAAAAATACTTTCATGAACAGTGCTGCCCTCCTGTGGACAAACATTAGAATGCATGTGGACAAACAATGCAGGGCCAGCAGCCCCAATAAAATACAATGCTGAATAGTGCTGCCCTCCTGTGGACAAACATTAGAATGCATGTGGACAAACAGAATGCAGGGCCAGCAGCCCCAATAAAATACAATGAACAGTGCTGCCCTCCTGTGGACAAACGTTAGAATGCATATGGACAAACAATGCAGGGCCAGCAACCCCAATAAAATACAATGCTGAACAGTGCTGCCCTCCTGTGGACAAACGTTAGAATGCAGGGCCAGCAGCTCCAATAAAATACAATGCTGAATAGTGCTGCCCTCCTGTGGACAAATGTTAGAATGCATGTGGACAAACAGAATGCAGGACCAGCAGCCCCAATAGGCAGAAAGCAGAGCTCGGGTGAGCTTCATTCCCCTGCTCTAGACGGTAGGGGAACCAGGAGGAGCCAGGGGAGATTTCCTTGCTTGCCTGCTGTGGATAGTGGGGGATGGGAGGTGACAGGGTAGAGGGGAATGGGGGGAGAGAGGCCAAAGGCAGAGCCCAGATAAGCTTCACTCCCTGCTCTGAATGGAGGGGTAGATGGGGGGGGAGCTCAGGGGAGCTTTGCTAGCTTGCCTGCTGTGATTGAGGGGTGGGGCAGGGAAGGGGTGGAGCAACAGGAGGTGAAAGGAACAGCTTGGGAGTTTCATTCCCTTGATAGGGATGGGGGGGTGGGGGTAGGAAGAGTTCAGGTGAGCTTTGATTGCAGTCTGGGCTACAGACAGGTAGAGGTACACTGCCAGGAGGTTGGGGGGGCCCTGATTTAGTGAACAGTTCAGCCCTCTTGGAGATATACCTTGGAATGCACTGCCAGCGTCCCCCATAAAAATCCTTTCGTGAACAGTGCTGCCCTCCTGTGGACAAACGTTAGAATGCATGTGGACAAATGTTAGAATGCAGGGCCAGCAGCCCTAATAAAATACAATGTTGAATAGTGCTGCCCTCCTGTGGACAAACG